TACATACAAAATCAACTAAATTTCCAACTTTGGACAACATTGCATAAAAGATAAGGTTTTTACCTCAGGTAATGAATGTACTTGCATTTTTTAAACATCGATCCACAAAGAAGTGAAGCATTTAAGAAAATAAATAATTTTCACCAATTGGAGCATATCATTTGTTTCCTTTAGCTGCAGAGTTTATTGGAAAGCAAACCAAGCAATATCCCTGTCCCATGGAAGCAACATTAAGAAACCGTTATAGAAATTGTCACATCACTTAATCACAGTGCACAAAATGACAAATTTAAATGATCAATTAAGATTGCTTTCAAAATACCACAAGTGACAATGACATTAAATAATACTATTTTGTTGTTACTATTAATTGATTATAATGATTAATTATCAATTTGATTTCGTTCTTACTTAGTACTTCTATAAACTTTAATGAATTTAGCTTCTGAAGTCTAGGGTTGATGACAATGAAGAGTACAATCTGGCTTTACTTTACAATAACGATGCATACAGTGTATATAAATGATGATAATTAAATTAAGTTCAATATAACACTTTAATATAATAGAAAGACATGGTCTCTCAGCCTTGGTCTCCAAATCTACCAGTAGATAATCCAGACAATTCAAGACCACCACCACGACCACCACCCTGAGGAGAAAGAAGACCACCACCTCCCCCAAGACTACCTCTTATACCACTGCCAAGACGTGGAGATGGGCATCCTGATGGGGAATGGGAATCAAGGGAAGGTAGTTTATTGAAATGAAGTCTGACAATGCAACTCGGTGGATGGGAGTCAGGTTCCAAGCATCGATGTGCTTGTCACTGACAGGCAAATGAATAAATGGCTACAAGAAACCAATCCAGCTATCAAGCATTATTATGACACATGGCATGTTGCAAAAGGTATTATGCTCAGTTAAAAATTATTACTTTATTATAATCGTTTCTTGTCTTGTACAAGTAAAGGCCTACAGAAGAAGTTAGAAGCATTAACTGGCTAAAACTAAGGACTGTGAACTGCTCTCAAAGTGGATTAGATGCATAATTAATCACTTATACTGGTGTGTGTCATCAACCCCTATTGGTGATAGCAAGCAAAATTGCTTTCGTTTGAAAACCAACTCCACAATATTCATCAAGGTCACAATGACAGGTATCCTGTGTGTGCACATCCAGCTTCAACTAACCCTAAACAATGGCTGACAAAGCATGAGTTTACCTGTAACCTGTGTGCAATTTATATGTGTATGATATGACTAGTGTACCTCCCGCTATAGACATAAAGCTTAGCGAAAAACTATCTTCAATAATAAACAACAAGGAACTATTGAAAGATCAGGCTCGACTGTGCCCTTTTTATCAAACCTCAAGCTAGGAATCTTTTCACAGTGTTATTTATTATACACTTTGCTTCAAAGTCCACTGCCTTTTTTCAGTATGGCATGCAATGCAGGTATGCCTTGTAAAGAATAGCCACATAGCATTAAACATCATTTGTTGCATCTTACTCAGATTACTGTTAGCTGCATTGCATTTCAATGAGAATGGTTAACGAATGCAAGCTGTCACACAAGACAGTGAGAAACGATATGAAATTATTTTTCCAAAGTTTAAGAAGGTACGAAAAGTCAACCCTGATCTAACATACAGTGAGTATCAGTTTATTTTTATTAATGTATTAGTGATATTCCCTTTTGATTTAGATTATGTAACAGAGCTAGTAGCAGATGTCTTCCATCAGGCCTGTCCAATTGTGATATAATTTTGTCAAGGACCATGAAGATGCATCTCAATCCTCCAATTTTTATATCTTGTCTGTGATACTTGGCACCCCATCCATTGACTGACCTTAGCCTCATAGTTAGTACACATCTCTGTAAGTCCCAGCCAATAGAACAGAAGAAATGTTGGTCAACCATGAGGTACCATTGCAAAGAGATAAGTGCTAAGGAAGAGCTAGATCCGCAGTTTCCATGCAGTATCAATAATTACAGCCTGCAATCTTGGTTTTTAGGATCGCCAGGGCCCAAAGTAGTAAAACTCAATGTATTATAACATTGGGTGAATGACCATTTGTATGATTTTTAGAAAGACACATCTTTTTGTGTTAATTAAAATATTCCTTATAATCAATAACAGACAAAAAATTGCAGAAATGGATTCCGCCTGTGTACCAAGCATCATCTAAAGTGAGTCACATGAGTATCGTCGATGCTTGTATGACCTTATGTTAATGCATCTCTCCATTTCTCCCTTTTATCCTTCATGTATACACAGCAGGAAGATGAAAGAATGCACGATGATGAAACTCCCACAATACTTACTGATAATAATTGAAGTCACTACCTGAAGCATTGTGCAATTTAGAGAGAAGTTGCCTTGGACTTTGAATTGATAACAATGAAGTGAATTTCCTATTTCCAATGATGCATAGTAAGGTGGAACTCATTTTAGATAATAAATATCAATAATCCTTAATAACATTAATACTGCCAGCATACTCTCCACACATGAAAGAGAGACTAGGCCCAGATGCTTATTTTCCAAGTTAAGATTTTACTTCAAAATAGTTGGACTCAACTTTCACTTCTCAAAATAATTAGTATTCATTTGCAGCATAAGCACATCTCAATTAATGTTGTACAAAGTTCAGCAGTAAAATGAAAGAGCTTCACATATTAGATGTTAGTATAACAAGTTGTGCATGAGCATGAAATTATATTATCTGCATATCATTCTTTTAGTCTTCTCTCATATCTCAATTTTTAGCTGCAGCCAATTGAATTTGCTAAACAACTGACAACAACATCATCAAATATGATAAGGTAAAAAGATTCACAAAGTGACATTAAAATTTAGTTCAAAAACTTTGTTAAATATATTAAGTCTTTTATACTAGAAATATTGAATCAGTTGAGCTAGTAGATGCTAGCTGGACAAAAGAGATACAGAAAATTCTTCCCCAACCTATAAAAAATGAGCCAGTTTGAGACTAAAGTATATATTTGCTTTACATTGCACTAATATCTATACGTGTACTGCAACATTATATTCTTCATCCATAGCTCACAAATTGTCTTCACCATTGTATAACGTTTACTAAAGACTTTTGGGAAAGGGTGGTGGTGGTTTCGAGAATGATTGATGTAATGGAGGTAAAGCCTATACATAATTAAAGTGTTTATATTCTATTTGTCATGTATTACTTGTAGGAATTAAGATTGATGAATAATTTTTCAGCTTTGCTTGCGCTCCACTGCACATTTCAATCCAGTCAAATATTCAGGCTTAATGAAACTTGGAAAGTACCGTATATTCTTAAATAAAAGCCGGATTTGAATTGAAGCCTGTCTTAAATGAACCCGGGTGCTGCACAGAAAATAGCAAATAAACGCCTGTCTTAATTAAATGCCCCGGAAACCATGCCCACAACCATGTGTTTCTAAGAAGACTAAAATTTTTGTGCATGCAATGTCTGAGAAAG